GTTACTGTTTGTTTGTTCATCATGGTTCTGGGCCAGCTCCACTGATGTCTCTCAAAGGGGTTGCATTGCCCTTGAGATCAGGAGTCCTCCTGGCCTCATAATTACTGCTAGATGGGCAGAGGGGGCCATGACCAAAAGGCCTTTTCCCAGCTTCCTCTGGTATATCTTCCCACTTCCAAGAGTGGAGGCAGGGAATCTGGCTGCAACGTCTCATGGCCTACCGCCATCTGATTAGATTTCTGTAATTCCCTTTGCATGGAGTCCTAAAAGTTTTTTTTCCAAAAGGTAACTGGACTTTCTTTTGTTTTGTTTTTCCCCTTGAAAACATTTTGCTTCTCATCCAAGAAGCTTCTTCAGTTCTTACATGTAAGGAAATTCAGAGCCGAAGAAGCTTCTTGGATGAGAAGCGAAACATTTTCAAGGGGAAAAACCCAAGAAAGTCCAGTTGTCTTTTGGAAAAGCACCTTTGGGAGAACCATGACCAGGACAATTGAGAATCTCCATAGATACTTTGCATGGAGCTGCCTCTAACAATCCCTTGAAAAGTGCAGTTGGTTCAAACTGAAGCAGGCTGCTTATTGACTGGCACTAACTGCTCTGAGCATATTACATGTAATTGGCTTGACCTGCATTGATTGCCAATAGACTATGAGATGCTGTTCAAGCACTTCGTTCTTGCTTGTGAAATCCTATCTGGCTCGGCACCTAGATGTTTCCAGGACTGTATACCACCAGGGGATTCAGCCTGACAAAGGAAGTCCTCCCAGAAAAAGCTGTCTGTAGCACCCTATTTCTATAAGGTGAAGGGGACTGATGCTACAAGGTCCTGCTTTGCTCTTATTGTGTCTAGATCATAGAATAGATTTCCTTCCTCTGGAAATAAGGCAGCCTCTCAGTGATGGCTTTCTGGGAGCTTTGAAAAGCTGAACATTTCCAGACAGCTTTATGAAATGATTGCAATTGTTACTTCTTGGGTATCTATTTTTTATTGTTGCATATATAATCATTGCTTTAATCATTACTTTAATGTTTTATTTTAAGGTTTTAATGTTTTAATGTTTTATTTTTCCTGCATATTTTTAGTGCATTTTAGTAGGCTGCAAGCCAGCATGAGTCATGGAGTATGGGTGACACACATGTTTGGTAAATAAATCCAAGAAATAAATCAGTCCTGGGGTCTTGGAGGGAGTGGTAGGGAGCTGTGTCATTCATTTGCCCTCCGGTAAATTAGTGAGTTGTGATTGGCAATGGCCCTTTGACAACTATTTTCTCAATAGGCAATCCCTCTCCCAGAGTAGTTATTTTATGAGAAGACACACGATCAAAATCTCCTGTGTGCGTCTCAGCCCCCAGAAATTGCCTACCTCCAGTTCCGCAATCTAAACTCCTGCACATGATTACATAGGAGTGAATCTCACTGATTTCTTTGGGGAGACAGCACGTACTTCCCCCAGCGTGTCTAAAATAAATTAACTGATGCATCTGCTTGCACAATGTAGATATGTAAATAAACTGTGTATGTCTGGAACAAAGTCAAACCTTGATCCCAAGTCCCTCTTCAAGTTTCAGATCTATCTTTCAGGAGCAGAGAGGTCTGATTTAGCATCTCTCAAGAAATTGTCTGCACATCAGTTGACCGTCTGGAAGGTAGTGATGGAAAGTCCTCCAGAGCTTTAAGAATCAGGGGTGTCTTCTCCTTTTGTGTTATCTCCCCAGCCTCCACTTAAGTTAGCAGTTGGTAGCATTAGCAATGAATAAAAATAATTGCCTGCTTTGATTTGTCCGGCTGAGATCCATCCTTGGGTGATGGTTAGCTTGTTCAGGATGCTTTTTGCACTCTTGACAGGAGGCAACTGCTTGGCTTTTCAGGCTGCACTTAGCAGCCTTTAAAAAAACACATTTTTTCCATCATTTGTTATGTAATATTTTTCTCCATAGGCCAAAAATGCAAATGCCACTGTAATAGATGGGGTTCATCTTATACCCTCCCTAATGGGCTTCCTCTCTTAGAATTAAACAAGACAAGGAAAGCATGCAGGTTATAGCTTCTGGAATTTTGTCCAACTCCTTGACCAACAGTAACTCTAAACAGCATTTGTACTTCCTTCTAGATACCCTCTCTATGTGTGTTGAGAGTATGTCCCCTTATGCTGTGTCTGGTTGCATTATGAAGCATAGAGCTGTTTGCAAACCCTCCTCTCCAGGTCATATGGCAGTGGGCAAGGGCCTAGAATGGCATAGTGGCTAATATCCCAGTTGTTTTTTCAATCTTTTCTTGAAGACCTCCAAGGATAGAGGTATGCTAAACCGTTGATAGGTTGTTCTTCCTGTTGGGAAATGTTTCCTTAGTTCCAGTTTGGATCTCTCTCTTCCACCCACTACTTCTTGTCCACAGGTACTTTTGAAAATAAATCAACCCCCTCTTGTCTGTGACAACATTTCAAGTACTGGAAGACAGCTATGACATCACCTGTAATCCTTTCCTTTGTAAAGCTAGACGTATCTAATTCCCACAATTGTTCATCATACAGTTTAGCCTGCACATTCCTTATCATCTTTGTTGCTCTTCTCTGCACACTTTCTAGGGCATCAGTATCTTTTTCTGTATCATGGTGAACGGAATGGATGCAGCATTCCATGTGTGGCCTCACAAGTGTATTATAGAGTGGTACTATCACTTCTTGTGATCTTGATGCTATCTCTCTGCTGATGAAGCCTAGGATTGCACTGACTTTTTTTGCTGCTACAGCACACTGCTGGCTCATATTTAACTGTTGTTCACTAGGACACTAAGATCCCTGTCATAGTTACTACTGTTGAGCCATTGCTGTTCTGTACCTGTGCTTTTGGTTTTTCCTACCTAAGTGCAGGAGCTTACCTTTCTCACCACTGCACAGCATCTTATTGGATAGGGCTCAAAACTCAAGTCTGTCAAGATTTTGATTTTGGGACTACCTGCCTTACCCGTGAGGCTAGTACTGCAATGAATCTGAACCAGAGACTTTCAGCCCACAGCTCAGGTGTCTTGCTAAAAGATTGCTTCTTTATGATACAGATGCAGATTAAGGAAAAGCTTTAATTGGAAGTTCCCTTGCAGAAGGGAATGCTTGACCTGCAGAAGTCTAACTGACTTTATAGTTATTTTGAGCCTTGAAGCCAAGATTGGTGGGGGAGGGCTGACCCTCGATGGTCCATGTGGATGGCAAGGTATTGACTAAGGAGAAAATGGATGAGAAGGGGGAAAAAATGCTGTTGTTGGTTTGTTTGTTTTTGTGCACCAAGTCAGTGTTGACTTGGCAACTGCCTGGGCTAGTCCCTGCAATTTTCTAGGCAAGAAGTTGTTTCTCCTTGCCTCCTTCCTTGGGATGAGCAGGGCCGTCTTAACAGCATTAGGGGCCCCGGGCAAAGCAGTGTACTGGAGCCCCTACAACAACTACTCACAGGAATAAAAATGTAAATGGTCAATTAAATTAAACATGTATTTATTTTATTGGCACTTCCAACATATAAATATGTAATAAATATGTTGTTGCATTTATATGATACAAGGTGCATTGAAGGCTTAACACAAACAGATTAGTATGGGGCCCCTATGTTCATGGGGCCCATGGGCAAGTGCCCGTCAAGCCCATGCATTAAGACAGCCCTGAGGATGAGAGAGTGGCTAGCCCAAGATCACCCAATTGGTTTTCTGCTAAGGTAGCACTAAAATTCACAGTTTCTCAATTACGAGCTTGGTGCCTTAATCATTACATTCCTCTCCTTTGGCAGCTTTCAGATATGTAGTCTTCAACTCTCAGAATGTTGGGAGTCAAATATTAAAATTGCCACAGTTGGGAACTACCTCACATTGGCTCTCTAATATCTAGTTAGGAACTCTTTAATTCCCATGTTTGCATGGGACTTAATTATATTCCTAGGTCTCCACAGATGTATGGGTGGTGCATGTGAATGAATGATCTTCCCTTCTTTTCTTTTTAAAAAATTTTTTTTATTAATTTTTAAAAACAATACACAGACAAACAAAACGTAAAATATAAAAACATAAGACATCTTTTCTAAAAAACAAATAAAGCATCTTATTTAAAGACAGCATAATTCCACATAATTCCACATTTCCATACAAACACAATTTGATATGCATGTTTATCTTGTATATTCAACTTCATATCTTTTCCCAACTTCTCTCTATTTCTCCCTTTCCTTCTATTCAATTATATTTCTTTTGCCTTGATTTCTATATATTCATTGTATCCATCTGTCTTATTTACAATTTCATTATTCTTTTCCAACATTTTTCTAGAATTTTATTAATTCAAACATAGACAAACAAAACACAAAACATAAATACATAAAACTTCTTTTTGGAAAGCGGCTTAACCCCGGGTTACATCTTTTTGTACAGACATAAATCAAATTCATGCTCCCCTAATATACTATAATCTTCCCTTCTGAGTTCTGATTTCATGTTATTATTTCATTCCATTCCATACCATTTCTAATCACCCCCTAGCTTGGAGCAGAGCTTTGACACCATGATGTCAATCCCCTAATCCAATTTGGGGACTAGGACCTGTTCTGAGGGAGCAAAGTGCTAAGGCAGAGCCTGTCTGCCTGTTACTTGTAGTGTCTGATCTGAACACTTTTACTGAGGTGTGTATGAGAGAGGGGGGCAGTTGGGAACTACTCCTGTGTGGTTAGAAGAGTGATTGCCAGGTTCTGAACTTCTTAAGCTGATCTCCATCGGCTGTGACAAGAGCTTTGGAGCAGAGCTCCCAGCTTTCAGGTAGTGATAAACTAGGCTCAAATCACCTTGTCCCTGGAGTGTATGTAGGAATCTCTGCTCGTCTTAAGTTCAGGATTGTCTCTCTGTTGCTGATGAGGAAAATTCAGAGAGGGGCTTTTCAGCGGATGTGCAGCTGAGAGCATCAGCAGTGGGTGTTTCCAGGATCCTTGAATGCTGCCTCCTGCTGCCTTTACAAGAAGGCAGCTTTCAGGCAATGGGGGTGGACAGGCGGCAGAGAGCCTCGGCAGCCCTCTCGCTCGGCTTCCTCTCTTTAATTTTCTCTATCACAGCCTTCAGCAGCAGCTACTGGTGTGAAGGAACCCAGAAGGTAGCCAAACCGTTCTGCAGCGAACTTGCAGGTGGCACCCACTGCATTGGGATGAACAGCCCAGGTGCGAATGATAGCAGCCTGGTTCAGTACATCTGGGAGACGGGAGACGACAAGTTTGTGGATCGAAAGTTTCATGCTGGTATTTGGCATTCTTGTGAAGAGGTGATCAGTGGAAAAGGTGAGTGCCCTTCTGGGAAACAGTCTTCTTCATCCTGATTTTCTTTGAGAGAGAAGATAGTTATGTAACTTCTTTCACGTTTTGTCTGGGGCTGGGTGAAAAACAGTGGCTATGGTGCAATCAGGGTTACAACTGTGAGAAATAAGGACCCCCTGGAATGAAGCATGACTCCTATTAGCTTCTTAGATAACTCTGGGTAGCTCTGAGTGGCAACTCATGAAAGTAGTTTGATATTGCCTTCTTCCAGATTTATTTTTACACCCAAATATGGTTTGTGATTTTTCAGTGGTCTCCCATCCAAGTAATAATCAGATTTGTTGCTGCTTCGTTTTTCAGGATCAGCCAGTCAGTTTGCTATTTCCACCTGGCAAAAGCAATGTTCAGATTTTAGCTGTTTCTTTTACTTATTTATTTTAGCCTTACTCTTCCATCTGTATAATGGAAGCATTTCTTTTCATATGACTTACATCCCATTTATAAACAAGCTGTTAAATTACACACATCATGTTAGTCTATAATGTGATTTGATTTGGCTCTACATGTTATAGTGCAAGGTTTCTCAGCCATGACTTTTATGCTAACACATGTAAATTTGATGATTTGATCAATAAATTGAAGATAAAACAAACCATGGCTTAGCGCATATCCAACCAATTCTAAAATAATCTTCAAAGACTGTGAAATGCTTTAAGGGAGGATACAATCTATTACCCAATGACATCTGTTGCAAAGTTATTTCCCAAAGCTATGTTGACAATTATTTCTCACCCCTTTAGGCAACTGACAGATCAAAATTCTCTTGCTATTCTAATATGGAGGTTGGAAGGGAAGAAAGGATTATCAGGATTAAAATGATTTGAACCATATTCTCCTCATACAATGCAAGAAGGGGCATCACAGAACACTATTTGGAGAGAAATGGGCCCATTGCCTGATTTGGCAGAAACTACACAGAGCCTTAAACTCCAGTCATAATAAATATTTAGACTTTAAAGGGCCATAAGACACTCTATTGTTTGCAAAGAATACAGCAGAGTTAACACTGAAATGAATAGTATTTGGGTGGAAAAGAAGTAATTAAAACTCATAATATTATTTCTTTCACCCAATTTATAAAACAACTAGAAAAATGTTTAAAAGAGTAATTTTTGATGAGGTAGGTAGCTATATAAATGTACTTAATAAATAAATAAAAGTAAAAAATAAGGGATAGAAAATTTTTCACCTTGTTTCCAATTTTAGAACACAGGTATACAGACACATTAATGCAGAACAATAATTGGTGTTAAATCTGGGGAATTTGGAGGACCTTATATTTTAAAATACAGCATATGATTGAAAAAGATAAAACCTTGTTTCCTTATTCAGATATTTGGGGCCACCAGTAAAAATGGATTCTGGGCAAATCATGGTAATTGCCTTTTACCTAGATTAAATACCATTCATCATGTTTTAATGCATGAAGAATATAATAGCTTTTATTAGATATATGGATTTCTCACATTCCTTTATTGGGTATATGAATTCTTCAGACTCTATACATTTACCAAAATATTAGCAGAATGATTCAAATTATAACTGAGCAGAATTGGAAACCTGAGTAGGCAGCCAAGGACAGAATTAATGTTGCAGATCAAGTGTGGAATTTCCAAACCTTTATTTTCTCTTCAAATAGAGGCTGAATGCAAGATATTAAACTGTAATGGTCACTGACCATTGCCATACAGCACCCTTTTAATTACCTGTAATTGTTTTTCCTGAGCAAGAATAAGTCAGTTTACGAGGTGATGTGCGGAAATTAAAAGCACACATATAGATGGAAATTAGGTTTGGAGAAGTTTTCAGGCTGATTTTTCTTTGAAAACTGCTGTCAGCTATCTCTCTCTTGCCATAGATATTAATATGATAAAAATACATGTTTCCAAAAGTTCTGGAACTGTCATTTGATGAAATGAACCATTCTTTCACCCAAAAGCATAGAAGAGGAGCCACAAAGTCACCTCTTGTTTGACCACACAAGGGCTAGTTGGCCTCTGGAAAACCTTTCTCCATGAGCATCTGCCCTGCTGATTTTACAGGATGGTAATATTGAGATTCCTAAGGAAATGATGTTAAAATGCACTGAGCCCTCGGAATGTGCTCTTATGAATGCTGTGCCTTACTTATTTGTAGGAGGGAAGCAAAATAAATCTTCCACTGTGTTTACTTTTAATGAAAAGGGGCTCTCCGTTTTCAAGTAATTGAATAAAATTAATATGGTTTTGCTCCCTGAGTTCATGACCAAACTGTAGCCTCTGGATAATGCCAATGTGGTTTCCTGCCATTTTTAAGCTGGTAGCAATGAAAGTATTACAGTACAATTCTTTACCTCAGGTTAGAACAAATTCCTGAAATCTCTCTGCCTTGAATGAAAGAAAAAGGAGATCCTTCACAATGTGATGTGACTCTCCCTACTTCATTTTCCAATCCTCTGTGCTTCTCACCCCCACTACGAAAAAGCTGACCTCTCTTCTGAATGAATATATGGCAAACACATCATTCTAGTCATGGTGCTACATAAATCCTCCCAAAGAAAAGATTCTGAAGGTTTTGGCTCCACCCACTCTTGAGACAGCTCTGTGGGTCACAGATGAGGTGCTGGAAGCCAGTTCTTAGTCCTGTTCTGTTGGCTCATTTTCTTTCTGCCGGTTTCCAGTCAGCCCTCATTGCATGCCTGAAGATGGAACATGCACCTCACTATTAGTGTTGCTAATCTTACCACTTGATCTCTGGCCCGTGGATCACAACAACTTCCCAGTTTGGTTATCATTTGCAATATTAGATCTTATTTTCATCAGGATGGCAAATTGTTACAGCAAAACACTCAGGTCAATTGTCTGCTACTGCAAATTACCTGCTGTTGGCAAGCTGAGCACCAATCCACATATCTGCTCTTATTTCTTTTAGTCCAAATATTTAAGCTTCATCGTGCACTGGCAATCATTGTGAAAATGCAACACATTTAACAGTTTCCATATTCTTCAAAGAAGTGCTTAATATTTAGTGCCTATATATTTCTGAATCTCCTTGTACCATCCATATAGAAAATGCTTCAGAAAGTGCAGGGGAATTTGGATCTGGCCTCCAAGAGTGGGTGGGGTGAAACCATTACTGAGCCCTGAGAAGAAAGAAAGCGTGAGACTCAAAACCACCCTGCCTTGATCTTATTCTCTTTTTTTAAAAAGGGGGTGGGGGCAGCAAAGGTTATGGACAAGCTTTCAAAATTCTATTAGTATACTTACAACAGTAAAGTAGCATCATTGGAATTCTAGTAGTATCTGTTTCTTGACTGGCCTACCTCAAAGCAAATTTCATATCAGATTCTGCCCCAAAGATGAGATGTTTTTCACAGCAGGTATTGTATATCTCTTTCATGGGACTAGATAGGCAAGATTAGAATTACCCAAACGGAAATGATTTATACAATGATTTACCTAAAGTTTTCTCCACGCTTCATTCCATTCTAAATAGTATTCCACTGAGTCATTCCACAGGCAATTCAGACCAGGGCAGTGGTGTGATCATAGGCTAGTACAAAACATTTTTGCCTATAGCACAAGGTTCACCCACTTTGATATTCGGATGATTCCAGCAACCAGATAAAATAAGCAATGCTAGACAAGACAACATCATCCACTTCACCGAAGGACAGTGGACTTAGAAACCACCTACTGCAGAGGTAACACATAGCTTTGTCCTTGGAAGATTGACTGCTGCTCTCTCTTCTATATCATCTAATAATAAAGCAGCTGTAATGATCTGAGGTGATCATTACAATCATAGAGAGAGATTTTGTAGTAAGGGGCAGAGAGAGAAATTGGACTAAATTCTTGGATTGGAAAAAAAGGTTTCAGCCCCAGATTATGGAGTAACCTTTGGCAACAACAGTTACAGCATATTCAGCTGTTAAATCAGAAGAGAAAGTAAATGGCTAAGAGAACTTGAAGAGGTTTAGAGAAAGGGAAGAGATTTAGAATTGCAGTAACTTTTCTAGGGAGGGAAAGACAGTGAGAAAATTAGAAAATTAAAATAAGAATAAAGGAGCTATAAGGTGAACTCTTCAGTGTTGGAAAAGTTTTGTCCATGAATTCCAAAAGCTAATCTGTGGAAAAATCAAGATTAAAGCACCCACAACAAGAGGTTACCTAGTCTTTGAATAAACACATCCAGTGATAAAGAGACTGCCATCTCTCTGGTCACCCAGAGCACTTAAAGCAATGCTTCCCTTTTTGTTATAGTTATTTTATTATTAAAACTTATGCAAACTAAGGAAATATAAAAAAGTAGAAAGGGCAAGGAGAAAAGAAAACACAGGGGAAGGGAAAATACATTTTAAAAGAGGTAATAAAGAAATATAGAAAATGACTTCCCCCTTTATCAATACAAGCAAAAACATTTTCTTAACACCTTCTCTAATGCTGCAACTAAAAAAACCACCTTCATCCCAAATCTTATCTTTTATCTATTGGCAAATAATAAAGCCTCATTTTGCAGTCAGCAAAAGTTCATTAAGAACTACCAAGAGATAGATATATGATAGATAGATAGATAGATAGATAGATAGATAGATAGATAGATAGATAGATAGATAGATAGATAGATAGACATAGACACAGACACAGACATAGACATAGACATAGACATAGACATAGACATATAAGGGGATATATATATATTTGTTTTCTGAGGTTTTCACGGGTATTTGTATGTGGATCTTTGGTTATTCAGGTTTTCTCCTGCGTAATATTGGAAGTATCTTGGCAACATTTCGACAAAATCTCATTCGTCATCTTCAGGCTTGTATCTTTGGCTTTGTGCTTCTTGGAGATGGCACACTAGGACGCACCATATACCAGAAGAAAACACACACTAACCACTACCTCAGTGCCAAATCCCACCACCACCCAGCACAGATAAACTCTGTGGCCAAAACACTAATCGCCAGAACCAAATGCCTGGCAGACAAGACACACATAAAGACTGAACTATGCACCCTGACTCAAGTACTGACAGCTAATGGCTTCCACAAAAGCAAAATCACCGGCTTGATCCACAAAAACACACTGAGACATAATGGAGACCTAGAAGATGAACAGATCTATGGAACAGCTGTCCTGCCCTACATAAGAGGTACTACAGACAAAATCAGTAAGATACTACACAGGAATCAAAACAGACAGAAAAATAGCAGCCATCCTAAGAAACTCCAAAGATAAAATTGACCTGGAAAACCAAGGCATATATGCATCATGCCCTGCCACATACATTGCACAGACCAATAGAAGAATAAGTACCCGCCTGGATGAACACAAAAATGCAGTAAAAAAGCTGGAAGACACTTCCTCATTAGTCCAACACATGAAAGCCACAGGTCATAGCATCGACTTCAATGGCACCCAAACCCTAGCCACTATAGAAAACTCCAGCCACAGAATTATCAGAGAAGCCATAGAGATTGAAAAAAGACCTGAAAGCATGAATAGAAGAGATGATTCCACCAGACTGTCAATTATTTGGAAGCCTGTACTCACAAACAAAAAAATCTCCACACCACAAGCCAGGCAAACACCTGGGCACAAACAGATCCCCCCGTGATACCTCCAACTCAAACACACCCCAACCAGGCACCCAGATGAAACCTAGCTTCCTAATAGATGATAGCCATCCATTTACTTGGAGCCAAGCTGCACTAAAAGCCTCCAATACAGAAACACAATGTTGCCAGCCAATCAAGACAAAAAAAGCCACAAAACAGACAGAAGATATTAGAAACACCAATCAAGCAGAACACAGCAAACTCCAAGACCAATAAACACAGACCAAGACTCCCAACCAATCAGGATGAAGAAAAAACCATTCTGGCACAGCAGTAGGCTAGCCCCAAATTTAAAACTGAAACGGCTGTGAAAGTTTGACTCACAGATGAACACTATACAGAAGCCTGATGATGGCAGATGAGATTCTGCTGAAACATTGCTACAACTTTAAAAGCACAACTATAATGATGTGGGAAAATACCCGAACAAAGCTCAATACCATAGATAGATAGATAGATAGATAGATAGATAGATAGATAGATAGATAGATAGATAGAGATATAGATATAGATAGATATATAGATATATATCCCCTATTATATACCCTTCAAATTATGTCCCACAAAATGTATCATCTTTTCTTCATCTTGTCTTAATACAATAGCTTATCACTTTCTCTAAAAATACCACAAAAATTCTCCTCTTTCCTTATCTTATCTACAAACAACTCTTTAAAATTTCATCATTTAGTCCTAGTCAAGAAAAGCTCTTAGAAAAAAACAGAATCATATACAGTCTAACCTTGATCAAATAAGCCAACTTTGTAAACATGTATTTTACTTTTTAAAGTCTTGATATTTATTATTTTTAAGTAATGTATTTTCTTTTTTTCTTTTCCTTTTCTCAGGAATTCTTTCTAAATATAATACATCTCTTCAGATTTACTTTGGATTTATAATACGTTTACTTTGGAAGTACGAAAATTGTCCAAATCACATTTTTGAGTTAACACCTATTTTTCCAAGTAACTCTTTTGGTTTATTATTTGGGTGTCCCTTTTAATTGATAAAACCTTGGCCAATTTCATTTGTTAGTACTATACAATATATTTGTCAGTATTATTCTTGTATCCTGACAATTTTAAATCTGAATTTAAACCAGCCTGCTTTTCAATTATATTTTCTTCTATCTCTCTTTAAAGCCCATTCTTATTGTATGAGATGGTCTAAAGAGTAAGTTCTAGGTACATCAGGGGTGGGATTCTATCAGTTCGCACCTATTCGCTAGAACCAATTGTTAACATTCTAAGCAGTCCAGAGAACTGGTTGTTAGAAGAAATTACTGGCCTAATCCTGTAAAGAAGGCAGGAAGGAAACATTCTGGTGTTGCTTATAGAAACTGCCTCTCCATTAACCCTTATTACATTCTTGGCAGGACTAAACTTCCTGCCTCAGGAACGTCTCTGGAGTTTTTTTCCCCTCCTTTGCTGGTACTTTGCTTGTGTGGAGTGACCATTCAAAATGACAATGGCACTGAAAAAAGTGACTTATGATCATTTTTCACACTTACGACTGTTGCAGCATCCCCACAGTCATGAGAAGCCAGGCGAGGAGATGCATGCCTCGATGCGAGTGATGTTGAGTTGGCCACACCCAGCCAGTCACATGCCCACCAAGCCACGCCCACCAACTAAGTCACGCCCACAGAACTGGTTGTTAAAAAATTTGAATCCCACACTTGAGGTACATTGTTACCAAGTATTGTTGAATTTTTCCAGAATTAAAATATTTTTTTTCTATTTTGTATTAGTGGATCTTCTCCTTTATTTCTTTTTTTAGTTGTTTCTAGTAATGAGCCTTCACAGTCTCCTCTTATCATGCTTTTATTTCATCCAGAACATTTCACCAGTAAGATATTAGAATACTTCCTGTATTGTTTACAATCATATTAAAATACAAATAAATATATTAAAATAAATATATTATTATTTAATATACATTAAAGATATATAAACCTATATTTCTAATATGATTTTTTTTTAAATTACAGGAAATATTTAAAATTTTTCTTTTTCAGAGTTCTGTTTCCAAATCAATCTGGACTGGATTGTTAGTCCAGTTAAAAAATGCCCCAAATCCACATTTTAATTATGCTTTTTCCACTTATTTCCAAATAAAGAGCTTTTTTTAATTTTAAACTTGCACAAATCTTTTGTTAAGGGTTGGAGGAAAACATCCAGTGTAAATAAAACTTGTCCTTCTGAAGATTCTCAGTATCCAAAAACGAATTTTCTTTTCTAAAACGCCTGTAGGCCAGACAAGGAATAATGGATGGAAACTGAACACGGAGAGATTTAACCTGGAAACGAGAAACTTTCTGACAGTGAGAACAACTAACCAATGGAACAGCTTGCCCTTGGAAGTTGTGGGAGTGCCATCACTTGAGACTTTCAAGAAGAGATTGGACCACCATTTGTCAGAAATGGTGTAGGCTCTCCCGCTTGGGTGGGGGGTTGGACTAGATGACCTACAAGGTCCCTTCCAACTCTGATTATCTGTATCTGTATCCTTCACCAGTTCCATTTTCTGCTGCAATCATGAGCATTGCTAAAAACAAAGCTGTGTTTTAGTCCACTATTGCTTCTTTAGAAGCTCTAATATATTTTTACCCCAATTTGTCTGTGATGGTAATTGTATGCAACCCATCCAGTTGGAGGATGTTTTTCTAAAAGTTAGAGAATAATATTGAAACATACCAAGGTTATTCAAGGTTTATCCACTGATTTTTCTCTCTGAAGATGCTGCATGTTTTGGTACAACTGTCTACGTTTCCATAAATAGGAGATACAGTCAGTTCTTTGGAGAGTCTCTGCTACTGGGTGATAAAGTGACTCCCTCAGGGGAGTTTGTGATGAGATAATGTTATCCTGGCATGTGAGAACAAACCTAAAAGTGCTGATGGATTATACTACCAACAGCCCCTTTTGTAAAAGTACAAATAGTGCAAGTGAGAAGAGACACTCCAGATCAAAAGCTGCCTGATTGTATCTGTATTCTGATACTATAAAAATACCAAAATAAGACACATGGAACCAGGTGGATGGATGCTTTCCCAAAAGATGACTTCCACAGGGCTTTGCCTTCCTCATAAAACAGTAGTGGAACGTTTTATCTCAGTGCTTCTGGCTTCCCCACCATCTGCTTCCAACTTGCTGCTTGTGGGAAGCTCTTGTTCCTATAAATGTTAGCAAGATAAGAACCCAAATGGGGCAAATATGACACTTGTGTTTCTTTAAAAAAAAAAATCTTTAATTTTCAAGTGCTCATTTTATGTGCCCTATAGGTGAGAAATGCAGAAGTTTCATCAGCCTGACACCCCCAGCAGTTCAAGGTAATTATATATTGTCAGTGTTTCAAGTTCTTTCTATATTTATATCTAGTGTTCTGAATCACAAGGGAAAACAATTTTTTAACACACACACACACACACACACATGCGCGCACACATCCAGGTTTTATGAAACATACATTGCCATAGAAAGATAGATGTTCAGAAATTTTGCTGAATGTAAATTTGGGCCCAGATGAGACAGTCCTTCATTTTCCGTGCTGTTAATGTATATGTCAGCTTAGAGATAAATCTTAAAGAGGTCCAATCTGGTTTTCTAATTTGAAAGCAGGAAAAGCAAGACTCTTCTGCAGGCTAAGTCCAATTGTCGTGGCAAATTGATGGCAGACTAGATAGGAATGCTGATAATTACTGTCTCAAACATCTGACAGATTCCAGATTGGGGGAAGTGGCTCATAATCACCCATCCTTAAAATCAATTGCCAGCTGCTCTGAAAAGAAATCAAATTTGATAACCATGTACAATATGTAGCTCTGTTGCTGGTTTATAGAAACAAAAATGTCTTTAAAATGGTCTTAGTGCACTGATTTATGTGTGTGTGTATATGTATATGTTCCAGGAGTTCTATGGTTGTCCGTTGCAGCAGAGATCCTCTACATTATTTTACTCCTGATGGGCATCACTCTCATGTTGATTGAAATCTGTCATTCCATCAGCGTCCTGGATGGGCTGAAGCTTAATGCATTTGCTGCTATATTCACTGTTTTGGCAGGTAACAGTTTGGGAATGTTTCTGTTAAGAGTTAAAGTAAGCCAAAGGAAGAAATGATCAATAGAAAGAAATTATTATTTTTTTATAGTAGGCATAGAAAGATAAGTTCTTACGGATGGGAAGAGTTGTCTTGTTCTAAGAGAATTAGCTGCTGATACACAAACTCTCCACATTAAAGGGTGTTTTAGTGTGAGGAAAAACTGCCACCCACTTCAACAAAGGAATTCTGGGAAGTGATGGCTGCAATGACAGTGAAGGAATGGACAGAAAATCCAAACAAGATAGAGCACCTGCTTTGAATGTAAAAGGTCCTAGTTCCTCTCCTGTTAGTACAATTTCTCACACCAAAGGTGATTGGATTAGTTCTCTACTTGTCATCTTCTGCTTATTTATCTTTTAAGTCCACCGTGATTTAGCAAGAGCTAAATCTGTTCAAATATGTCTTCCTCCCACCCCTTGGGAAATTCACTCAGTACTTTACATGCCCTAGAATCAATTCATCAAGGAGTCATTTGTTGAAACTATGATTGACTGTTACAGGTCTCCTCGGAATGGTGGCTCACATGATGTATACAACTGTATTTCAAATGACAGTAAATTTCGGTCCAGAGGACTGGAGGCCTCAGATGTGGGATTATGGCTGGTCTTACTGGTAAGTTTTGAAGCAAAATGTACCACAAAAAGGTGGGCATGAGTCAAATCATTCTGAGGGAGCTATTAAAATTAAAGCTGCCTTTAAAAAAAAAATTCTTATCTCAATGACAAAGTATTGTAGCCATGTCTGAGAATAGAATTACAAGAACTTGCAGGCTTGCTTCTCAAGTGTACCACAAGGGTGCTTAAAATTGATGGTGACATCTTAACAGCAATGGTTGTGTGTGAAATTCAAAGATGAAAAATGTCTTGTCTTTCTCTGAATACAGAAAGCTCTGATTAAGTTATCTTTCTCCTATCACTGAGGTTTTGCAAAGGAATTATTTCTTTCTATACAGATATTGACCCCAGGAATTTCACCAAGTTGCCCAAAAGAAATATAGTTATGGAGTGGCTAAAGGAGATGAGAAAATGAATCTTCCATCTGCATAAGCTTTCTTAGTTTAGCAGCCAAGCCAATTAGAGATCTGTTGAAAGGGATATATTTTTACAAATATGTTCAGAACCTATAAAAAGGTGTTAGCGGCTCAGTAACCATTTCCCCCCATATATACGAGTAATAAATTTGTTTGTGCAACCATTTTAGTATTAGGATTGGGATTCCCCCACCCCCAATTGTTGTCAAAAGAACGATGACCCTCATTTTTTAAAACAGCATAAATTGCATTTGGTGGCTTTGCTACTGATTGGTGGTTGAAATATCATCAGATCATCTCATTTGATGCATCGTTTTTCATTAGTTGGGTGTCCTGTGGTGAATTAAAAAGGAATGCTAACCGAATGACAAAAAAATGTCACTGATGAACCCTAGTAGTGACATTTCTACTTTTTCCCTGGTGGCATGAACACGTGGAACAGATTTGCCTCTTCCCTCTGTAAAATTTCCCTGTAGAAATGTTCATGTGTGCTCATTCAGCCCGACTTTAAAAGCAATGAAATGTAAAGTCACAAATCTGAAATCATCGTGAGTTTAATTGCAAAACAAGCCCAACAGGATGCTCTTACATGATGGAAAAACGTTTTAAAAGACAGGTTGTTAGAAATAAATGTAAGAGATCTGCGGGCTGCTTAGTCTGGGGGTGGGCGAGTGTATGACTGTGTCCTGTCATTTTCCCCCCCTTTTTTTTCTCAAATTGACAGCTTGGCGTGGGTTTCCTTTGCCTGCTGCATGGCTTCCTCTGTGACCACAATGAACAGATACACAAAAACTATTTTGGAATTTAAATATAAACAGAAAAAACTGGAGAGAGGTCTACGAGCTAAATCCAAGCCTCCTGTTCCAGAAAAGGCTTGGAAGATGTATGTTGACACCCTCCAGAGAACAACCGAGGACTTCATGCATCCCTTAACAGACATTCACAACCCATCCAGTCCTGTGGGATTTGTGGAGTTAAATAATATTCCTGTGGCACATTGTGAAGAATATTGCTAAGAAGGAGATCCAGGATTATCGGTTGTGTTTTGTGTTATGGAAAGTACCAATGTATGTATGTTGCATTTTTCTTTTGTATGTTAAGAATTGATTTTCCAGTGGAAAGCCATGATGATGACCTACAAAGGAAACACTTTTAACATTTCTAATTTGGGGGTGTTCTCTTCTCTTTTGCTTTGACGGCACTAGTTAGGTAGGGAGAGAGATTGATAGCATAATCCCATCCAGGTGTCCTCAGAAAAAAAATTCCAATGATTCCAGTGGGACTTACCATTCATTTGAACAACCAGGTTGCTCCAACATGAATATGGATCAACAACTATTTCTTGAGGATCTGCTAATATCAAATCTGTTGATAGCATCCTCTATACCAGCCCATCAGTTAGGGAACTTCTGCCTGTCTTTCCCTGCTGTGCATCAAAAGTAGTGGCTTCCAACCAGGGGTTGGATTCTACCAGTTTGCACCTATTCGCTAGAACCGGTTGTTAACATTTTAAGCAGTTCAGAGAACTGGTTGTTAGAAGAAATTACTTGCCTAATCCTGTAAGGAAGGCAGGAAGGAAATATTCTGGTGTTGCTTTCAGAAACTGCCTCTCCATTAACCCTTGATACATTCTTGGCAGGACTAGACTTCCTGTCTCAGGAATGTCTCTGGAGTTTTTTTCCCCTCCTTTGCTGGTACTTTGCTTGTATGGAGTGACCATTCAAAGTTACAATGGCACTGAAAAAAGTGACTTATGATCTTTTTTCACACTTATGACTGTTGCAGCATCCCCACAGTCATGAGAGGCGAGGTGAGGAGATGCGTGCCTCGATGTGAGTGTTATTGAGTTGGCCACACCCAGCCAATAACATGACCACCAAGCCATATCCACCCAGTCAAATGACCACCAAGCCATGCCAACCACCTAAGCTGACCACAGAACCAATTGTTAAAAATTTTGAATCCCAGCCCTGCTTCCAACTGGTGCTGGCACAAGCAGCACTATCAATTTCATCTGTTCATTTCATTGTTGGCAAACTGTTCCACTTCTGTTGGCTATCACATGCTATTACAGGAATGCTTTTTTTAATCTGGTCATTGTTACTGCCTTCCATGGCCATTTGTGCCAGGCTACCAACTCACTTCTGAAGGACTTCAACCAGGGACCTGTGAGTTTTTTGTACTCATTTTATTCATTTAATCAGTGGTCCAATTAAAACCCACCCTTCTTTCCTTCCTTCCTTCCTTCCTTCCTTCCTTCCTTCCTTCCTTCCTTCCTTCCTTCCTTCCTTCCTTCCTTCCTTCCTTCCTTTCTTGGGATGCAGTGCTTAGAATGCAGTATTGCAGACTGACTCTGCCCACAGCCATCAATTTTGACTGGTTAGTAAAATGAGGATCCAGATTGTTGGGAACAACATGCTAACATTTGTAAACCATTCAGAGAATGCTGTAAAGCACTGGGGAGCTGTGTATAAGTCTAAGTGCTATTTCTATTACTCTTTCTTTCTTTCTTTCTTTCTTTCTTTCTTTCTTTCTTTCTTTCTTTCTTTCTTTCTCTCTCTCTCTCTCTCTCTCTCTCTCTCTCTCTCTCTCTCTCTCTCTCTCTCTCTCTCTCTCTCTCTTTCTCTTTCTCTCTCTTTTCTTTCTTTTCTTCAGTGAGATGTAATTATGAAATGGCAAATCTTTCTTTTTTAATCTTTCTTTTTAAACCAGATTAAATTGATAGAACTGTTCCACCAATTTCATCTCCTAGCCTAGTCATTTAGGAAACATAGTAAAACAGAATTTTCAATTGTTTAAATTTCTTACTGGTCTACTAATGGGCATACCAGATACAAAAAGTCTCCATGGAAAACCAGTTTTCTACAGATCTGCCTGCTGGGGGGAAAAGGGGGCTAATGCTTAATTTGTTGACATGAGCCAGACAGATGAGAAGCAGAAGTGGGGGGGGGGGGGGGGGGGGGGGGCATAGTAAGCATTGTTTATGTCAGGCACCATTGTGACCAAAGTGGAGGAAATCAGCTTTATTTCTTTAAGGATATTTTTTAAATCCCACTTTTATTATATTTATTATATTTATAAATAATTCAGGATGGTGATAATGCTCCTTCTTCTTCCTACTTTCCTCACAACAGCAATCAGTTGGCTTTCCTTCCTAAAATGGGGCTTGAACTGATAGTCTTCTGCTTTTTAGCCTGGTGCCTTAACCACTAAATCAAACTGGCTCTTAGTAAGTTTATGCATTTTAAGGTTATAATGAAGAAAAGTCCTTATTCTCCTTTAGTGAGTCTAGCACCTTTACAGTTAATTCCTCTCTGCAACGTGGCATTTTATCTTGGCTAGGTCATGGCATTACATTGAAAACTTACAGCTGGTATATTTGATATGTATACCAGTAGTTAATAATATTGAGAAAGTGCTAAATATTTCAAAAAAGATAGAAAAGAAAAAGTACTTCTATGATTATTCATACATTTTGATGAAGCTAAATATAGAAACTTTTGTGTTTTGTTTTGTTTTGTTTTGATCTGTCCTTTTTTCCTTAAAATGTCTCTAGAGGTTTCAGCTCTGTGTAACTTCAATACACCTTTCTTATTAGAAGTGAAGTTTTATAACTCAGAATGGAGTTTCACTTCCCAAACCACCACACACTTTTAACAATGCCCAGAGAGGCACCGGCAAAAGTTGCCTTCCAACGAGTAATTAAGAAAACTTTCATATTTTAACTTTCAGGTGCCAAGGGATGCAGCTTTGAGCAGCTAATTATTATCTGGCAAGCAAATCTCACCAATTGGGTTTTATATTTTTGGCTGCAGGCAGAGGTGAAATAAACAAAGGAAGTTATTATGAAGTATTTAACAGCTCAATTTTCTTGATGCCTTTCTTGGTCTTAGATTAAGAGTTCTGTAATTTTTGCTGTGAGTGACAGTTAAAGTAACCTGCGTTATTAGGACAGGAGAAAAAAATCATGTCATCAAACTTTACCAAAAATATCCAAAGTCTTCTTACCATAAGGTAAAACCAGCTAGAGTATGGTTCACCTATGGGTACCATTTTCCCATCTTTGCATTAGATGAGATAAAAGAACTCTATTGTATTTTACTCTTACTGCTGTATGCCTCAGATGCCATGCCCTTTTGCAGTTCCTCAGCCTGGATCAACAAATGATGTACAGAATGTCAAAGAAAGCATTGATCCGCAAGATACAGGAAAAGAGTTTTATATATTACTCTTAAAATCCTATTTCTGGTGTACTGAAATGCATTAAAAATTCCTACAAAGCAACTTGTATAATCAGACAGTGTTCTAAAATCCAGATATCAGCCCAAATGTAGCTTAGAGTAAGTACTGTATGTCTCCAGATTTATGAGACAAGTGTAGCAAACTGGCAAGCAGATATAATCTGAATTATTGCTTTAAATGGGTTTTACTTTCAAATAAGTATGTATAGGATTAACTAGACTGAGCTGGTAGAAATGTTGGTTAATTTATCATGCCAGATGACACTGATATGGAAAAGAACACATCACTGTGAGTTCTGTTTCAAAAAAAATAATCATATCTATCTTTTTTCAAGGCACAATGTAAAACTTCTGTAATAAATGTTGAGAGGAAAATTGTGCTTGATTTGCAAAATTCCTCCCCCCACCCCTTATATTCAGTTTCCCACATGTTTAGCTGGATCTCTGAAATAATTGGAGCTCCATATTAACCTAAACTAAATTTGGCACTTAAATTCAAATGTCCAAGTTGCGATGGGTGTGCTTGAGGATTGAACCTTTTTTCATGTTGTCTCCCTGTATCGTCTTTTTACAACTGTAAAAACCTTTCTTCACTAGTGATCTTTGATGGAATTTGATTCTTGCTGTGCAATAAAAAGAGCTTCACAATACCTTGTGGTTTGAAATTGGTAGATGTTTTGCAGTTATGAAAACATTATCCTAAGAATGTATATAAATCATGTCTGGGGATATGGAACTGAGGTTGGCAAATTATCTTGTGGTGTCAGTTTGAGAAAAGATTTCAAGTCTGTGTTCAGATCTCATGCTCCTCCATTTCCAAATTGGATTTCCCCTATATGTGTTTTACCTTTTTTTATCAAAAAAAGTCAATGAAAGTGGAGAGGATGGATGGATGGTTTATTACTAGCTGGATAAATGTCTTGTTTGGTAGTGGTATGTGGTGTTTTTTTTTTTCACAAGAAACAAATAAATTATATTTCTTAATAGGTTTGGAATAGCTTTGTAGACAATGATGTTCTGAAAGGTAATGCTTTCCAAGAAGTATTGCTGGAGGGAATTTGGGAACTTGTAATCTCATCATACCAAAAGAACAGCAAGTTAGAGATGGACAGGGCAAATCAGCCCTTTTCTAGTCCCCCCCCCCCCCATTTCCAGTTATTTTCCCTTTTCTACTGGTGATAAAATTCTATATTGCAGTAATTTTTGCAATTGGGGAGTAATGTTAGCACTTTGCTTTTGTGCATAATACAAATCCTGCAATTAATTCTTGGTTTGCCCCGGATATAGAAACTACACAGCACAGTATGTTCTTTTCTGAAATCTTTTCAAACCTCACTAGAGGATGGCATGATGTCCTACTATGCTTAAGAAGTATGCTAAGCTTCAGACATCTTCCATTATTGGAGAACTGGGGAAATTCCTATAGATTCGATTCATTTTTCAGAATTCTTTGTGTGTACAGGTGGGGTGAGAGAAAGTGACTTCGGCTTAAATTATTATCTTTTCATCAGAAATGTCCCCATTTCTTGATGGAAACAACTGCAGTGATATCAGAAGGAATAATAAATCAGAATGGATATGCTCATTCCTTAGAAGGTTGCATATTTATATTCTACCCCATCCATTAAGGACAAAATGTACGTCAGATGTTTGTTCAATCTGTATTTTTTCCCCAGTTCTTTTTTCTTTCCAGCTTTAGTTTATATTAACAGTAATGTTAACGACCATTTTGCATGAGAAAACATCATGAAACATTTTGTTGTCCCCTCCAACAT